TCATGACCTTGACAACATATGTGAGGGGGGTCCCCTATTCTGTAGAATTACCTTGACGTCTATTAAGCTGGACCCCCCACCATCGAAAATCAAGTTTGAAAAGTCAAAGTTTAGTGCTTTTTAGATGCTAATTTAGTACTCTATTTCGAATTTTAGTGCTCAAATCGTTTAGTAACAATAAAAAGAAAGAGGGAGGGGGGTCCAGCTTAATGGCAAGCCAGACCTCCTATAAAAAAATATATACAATGCATACAAAAAATAAGTATACAGGGATTTTAGTGCTAATTTAGTGCTCCAAAATAGAGCCAAAAAATTTCAAATATAGCGTTAATTCAAATATTCCAACATGTATTAAACATTACACTGTAGTATATGACACCTACATTTAGAGAGTTCGTGGTACATATATCTTTAAAAGTATTCACATCTAAAATGATGTAGATTTTATATATATTCGAAAGATAAGGTTCAAATTTGTTACTAACCGTAAAAAAATAAAAAAATAAATATAATAAACTCTAATTTCGATCGATGACGCCATGGCTTAAGTTCCATTAATTGCTCGTCAAAGAATTCGGTGCTCGCATGATTTTGATATTAAAACAATCCTTAGACATCTTAGTATAAAAATATATATTTTCGATTTTAGTGCTCACCTAAAGTGACTGAAAATAATTAATTCGTTGCAAAGAAGGGCTCACCGCGTTATTAAGTTCGTTTTATCCGATCGTCAAAAAATTTGGTGCTCACATGATTTTGGTATTAAAACAATCCTTAAACATCGTAGTATCAAAATATATATCAGATATGTAAATATGAAACCGGAATTTTTAAATAGAAAATACACGTTTATTGCATGAAAATGATAAAAAATATTTTATTCGAAGTATTGCCCATCGCTAGCTATACATTTTTCCCACCTGTCTGACAATTTGTGGATGCCACGCCAAAAAAATTGTTACATTTTTGAGCAAAATCAGTCATCTAGCCATTTTCGTACATCTTCGTAAGAAGTGAAGCGCTGCTGAGCAAGTGCGTGTCCCATCGATGCAAATAAGTAGTAATCGGACGGAGCCAAGTCTGGTGAGTAAGCCGCATGCGAAAGTATTTCCCAACCAAACGCCTCAATCGTTTCCTTGACCAGTTTTGCTGTGTGTGATGGTGCATTATCATGAAGCAAAATCACTTTGTGTTGTCTTTTTCGATATTCCGGTCGTTTTTCACGCAAAGCTTGATTCAAATTGATCATTTGTTGTCGGTAGCCTTCAGTATTAACGGTTTCGCCAGGTTTTAGCAGCTCATAATACATCACATCTTTCTGATCCCACCAAACACAAAGCATTGTCTTCCGTCCATAGCGATTTGGCCTTGCAGTCGATGTCGATGGTTCGCCTGGAGTTACCCATGATCTTTTACGCTTAGGATTCTCAAAATATATCTACTTTTCACAATTCGATAGAGAAATGACTTTCTTTTGTACCTGGCGAGCAGCATTTCACAAGTGGTTTTTCGGTTTTCCTGCTGTCTTTCATTCAGTTCATGTGAAACCCATTTTCTCATCTTCTGGATCTTTTCCATGGATTTCAAACGTATGGAGACGGCTTCTCGTGTTACATTCAATTGATCCGCGAGTTGTTGTTGAGTTTGAGCGTCATCCTCATCCAACAATGCTTGCAATTCGCTGTCTTCAAACTTTTTCGGTGGTTTTCCACGTTCTTCGTTTCTCACGTCAAAATCGCCACTTTTGAATTTTTTAAACCATTCAAAGCACTGTGATTTACCAAGAGCATGCTCACCGTAAGCTTCGACAAGCATTCGATGCGATTCTGCAGCAGTTTTCTTCAAATGGTAACAGAAAATCAATGCTGTCCGCAAATCGTAGTTTCCAGGCACAAAATTCGACATGTTCAACGCTATTACAAACTATACTGTTGTACGAAACTTGTATTGTTGTGAGTTGAAAATTTTTGTCAAATGTCAGAACAAGGAAATGGCGTCAATGACGCGGTCTGACGGCAACTACATTGACAGCTATGGCCATCTATTGGTAAATTCCGGTTTTATTTTACATACCTGGTACATATTTGAATTTAATGCTCTTTGCAAGCCATCGGAACCACATCCGTGTGTGTTCGGTGCTGCGCTGATTTACTTTTGTTTATCGTGGAATCCCACTTCATTATCTTTTCGATGAGGCAGAGAAAGTCGACAATAGTAAATACGTGAAGCATATTGTAACCGTATTTAGATTAATGTCTATGTATTATGTGAAAACTCATGGCCAAATTACCGATGCATTGGAAGTTTTTTTCTGAATGAGTCGCCGGTGCGACGTATGTCAAAGGCTGCCGCGCAGCGCGTCGCCGACAATGAGAGCTGTGTGAAGTTGGCCCCCCACTATTAAAAATCTAAAAATGACCATTACTAGTCGTTTGGTGATGTTTGGTAGTCCATTCCGGACGTTTGATAGTCAAAGATATAACGAAAAATATCAAAAAGAGACTTATGCGCGTG